AAGCACGTCAAGATTTTTTTTACTTTTTAATGTAATTAATAACATGAAAGTTTTAATTTTCTCCGTCAATGTTTTGAAAGGCTTTTTATATTTGTTTTAATATTCTCTTTACCATCTCTCTATTTTTGTTTTTCTATTTTTTATACCAGATCTTCTACTTTTAACTATATATTCTCTCATAATGTATAATGGAAGATCATGCGGATCTTTATCTGAAGATGACATTATCTGAAGAGAATGTTTTTTATAAATATGATTTTTTAAGTAAAGAGAGAGAGAGAGAGAGAGAGAGAGAGAGAGAGAGAGAGAGGAGAAAAGAAACATCAAAGTAAATTTTAATAACATTTTATGTACATACCCTGTCGCAAGCACGTAATTAGATAGCATTTACCGAGATATATAGTAAACATAGTAAAATTATACTAGATTGTAATATTATATTAGCTATATTATATAATAAATTTTGTAAAATTTTACAACATATAAAATAAGTTATGCTACTTTTACACATACAGGGTGATTCGTCGATATACAGTTCAATACGATGGATTTTCCATCCGTCGTACTGAACTGTATGTTGAAGAAACACCGTGTACAAAATAAATTGCTTTAAACAAATTTATTGTAAATCTTTGTAATACCTACCCTAAAATAATCCACCAAATGAATTATATATATATATATATGCGTGTGTGTGTGTGTGTGTGTGTAAGTATATATATAGATCGTGAAGGAGGCACCGCTAAAAAGCAAAATTTCGTGCACTATTTCTGCTGCATTTCTGCTGTTACTTTCAAATGGCACGTCGTGTTCGATTTTTGCCCTGTTTCTGCCGTTGTGTTTCAACGGCACGTCGTAAACGATTTCTGCCATATTTCTGTCATGTTTAAACTGCACGTCGTGAACGATTACTGCAGTGTTTCTGCTGTTACATTCGAACGACGCGTCGTGATCAACTTCTGCCTTATTTCTCCCGTCACAAGATATTACCCATTCAGCTTGATTTCTAACTGCTTGCTGTTCGCACGGTGTAAGGTCATTCTATATTCAATTTTGTGCTGCTGCTATTGGACATACTATGTCAGCATACAGTGCTTAAATTTTTATCTTGCTATGCTGACATATTGTACCTGATTTTTGCGGTAATTTTGCTTTCATATCATGATGCATTTCCTGTTATATTTCTGTTTTACTTTTGCGTACATTGTCTGACATTGCAGATCATGCTTTACTAATGCTACAATTATAACAGCATGACTTGCGGCACACATTTAGCAAAACCTGACATTAGCAGGCTTGGCTATCTGGGTATATACGTAGACTACACCCTGCAACAGGTGTTGTAAGCAATGCATACAGATAAGACTATATATATCTTGGGTATTTATTTGGTTTCCCGGATTTCACTTTGAAAATTGATTAGATTATAAGCTATTTCGATTCGCTTTTGCACAAACTGAACGAATTTTAAAGAAAAAAGTGTTATTCTACTCCGTAAAGCAATATGATTTTGATCAATATTGCAAATAACGGTATTATTTAGATTCAAGTTGCTATTTAATTATTATTTAAAATTTTATAAAAATAATAATAATATGGTAATGATATATATTTCAGAAGCTGTTCGTATATCCCACAGCGCAATGACAGACGACTATGCGGAATATGTATCGAAATGGCTTGCACAAACGACTGTACGGATTTCAGGGCAAAAAATTGAAGAAACGGTGGCTCATGATTAACAATATTATCATTTAATATATTTTTATTAATAGTTTTATTAATAGTATTAATATAATATTTTTCATTTATATGTGTTCCTTTTACATATATGTGTTCATAATTTTTTATAGTTCTTTGATGTTTTTCATTTATTTTTTACTACCAAAGTAGATAAAACACTTTATTTATGTTTTATATGTTTATATTTGTTACGAACACTATTATCTATGTGCACCATTTAGTATATTAATCAAAGAAGCAAATTTTTATTTAATATTAATTGTTGTAACATACTTTTATAAATAAATATATATATATGTTATAATTTTGATTTATTAATAGTTACAATACTACTGCGATTGCTATTTAACATAATATCTATAGTATGTGAGTCTAACTAATAACTTGCAATTATGATATCCTACATAATACAGCTGTTTGCTAATTTCTACAGATATCTTGTGGATATCAAATGACAAAAATACTTCAGTATATTATGACAATATTCAAATATCCGCTTTTTATTATATTTTTATAACAAAATATAACATTGACGTAATGTTATATTTCGTTTTAGATGTAATAAAAAGCGGACTTTTAATATCGCAATAATGTTATACTGATAATTTTGCCATCTGCTGGTATCTGTGGAAAAAAGATTAATACATAATTATGTTATATGGAATTGTATAACTACAAAATGTTGAATACATATTTTAGAATGGTTTAGTTGCATATATTAGAGCTATAGTTAGAGCTATATAATATTATATTATTTAATTTTGTATATTACAGCTATTACGCCACTCTACACACACACACACACACACACACACACACACACACACACACACACACACACACACACATGTATATATATAGGCATAATAGCTGTAACTTTATTGCATATATACTATATAACATTGTTATTGCAATATTACAATAGAATGTTGCAGTATTATTGCAGTATAATATTGCTGTAGTATTGCAGTATAATATTGCTGCGCTATTATAATACAATATTGCTGCATCATTGCAACGCAATATTACTACAAGCGGACATTTTAATGTTGCTGCAATATTACTGCACCATTGCAGCAACATTTTGCAATGATGTTGCAATGATAAAATCTTGCAAAACAAGATTGCTGCAATGTTGCTGCAATCTTTCTGTGCTGTATGGGATGATATATTTTTAAGAATCTTTGAGGTTTGATGACGTTATTATCCTCAGGAATCTTATGTGTAACATAAATTGTAAATTTTCGTACAAAAAATTGTTCATATAACATATGTACTGTTACACTGCTACTCGCACCAGTGTAACAGTGCAGCTGAGATTTATTGTCATTTATTGTCAGTGACGTTTATGTGACAAATAAAGTCATATTGATATCATTATGATATCATTATGACTTCTATGTTCTACCTGGGTACGGTGCTTGTTTTCGTGTTGGATTGCTTGCTGGATGAAAATATTACGTTCTGATTGGTACATTTCCGAAGATGGATGGAATTGCACCAATCAGAACGCAGCAATGGAACTACGTAAAATGATAGACGAAGAAATAGAAAAAAAATTCCTGTCTACGTAAAGAAAGTAACTATGTAAGTAAAATTGTGCATCATCGGGCTGTTTCGGTTGTCATCCGAAGTGCTGAAAATAGAAAGACCTTCATAGCTCTTTCTATCTCTATTTCCTAATCTTTATGAGGCAGTTTATATAATGACATGTGTACGTTCTCTAGTTTTAGCGTGTCTTTCTTGCTAATGCTATTAAAATATTTGATTAATTATGAGTGGTAAAGTGAGTGAAAATTCGTATGAATTTAAAAGATATTATGCGTAAATATTATTTTATATTATATTGAATATATAAATCTTATCACATACACACATAAAATTACTTAATTAAATTAAATTCATATTTGAACCACCTTATATTTGTTCCATTTCTTATATTTTAATCAATAATGAAATAAAATATGAAAATTATATTAAAACTTTATTAGTATATGTTATTATTTATAAGTATCATTATTTATTTATGAAACTAAAAGTTTTATTCAATAATTTACCCTAACTGCACCGTACATTCCTGATAGCAAATATGTTCAGAAAACATCAAAGGGATGTCCTGGAGATGTCCTATATCCTCAGGGCGGCCTGGGATGTCTCTGGACGTCCCTAGGAGATTTATACTAATCAAATGGATTGCTTCTATCTCTTAAAAATATGCGTTCTAATCGTAAATTTTCTTTTTCTTCTTCTTCTATTTTTTCTCCCATTAAAATTCTCATTATTGCATCCATTGGTCTATCTCTTTGTCTCTCTTTTTTTACAAATATTAATTTCTTTTCTAATAAATCCTTTTTAGTTGAAGATTGTTTAATATTCACTAACTGAGAGAGAGAGGTTATTAGAAATAAAATAATAAATTAGTTTATTATAAATATTAATATTCTTATTAATAATAAGATATATAAATAAAATGTATGTTTATAGGATAAAAATGACAAAAAATCTTATGTATATTATTAAATGAGGTTATATTAGCTGTACACATTCATTTAATCCATAATGGAAAAAAATATCAAAACAGCCAAATAATATTTAGTAATTTCATAAAAATCACTATACTATTTTATCCGTTACCGAACGTTTTTAGCTAAAACATTAAAGATAGTATAACATAATCCTCTATAACCGAAGATTCCCGATCTGTCATAGAAAAGCTATTAGGTAGTACGAATTATTATAAGCATCAACTTTCCTGTCTTATCTATTTTCTTTTCCTTGCTTACGCCTTTCTATATCTATAAAATTACGTAGTATCACCACAGTATTTTCATCCAGCAAGCAATTCAGCACAAAAACAAGCACCGTGTGCCGCTGGCTTTACTTACTATCTTCCTTAAAAAAGTAGAGTGAACAAGAACCATATACATTTTGCTGTTATCGTCAGGACGGACGTAGTGTGCACGCATTTTTTCAGGGGGCGCGTCGGAAAAAGCATCTTGGCATAACTGGTCTGGTGGCCGCTCTTAGATTTCTCTCTGATAATATACAAGAGATGTCAATTTTTATTTAAACTATTTATAGTTTTTAATCTTTTTATAATGAATGTAACTGTAAAAAGTAAATCATATATACAAACGAATTTCTCTTTACTGTTCAATAATATATTTTCTCCAGGTAATTAATATAAATTTTGTTCTTGGCTGCGCTCCGATGTTCATTCTGAGCATTGAGAATCTATAGTATAGGTGACACAAACTATGTATTTTTAGTACTGGCACTGGCAGTGAATATCGGAACGCAGCTTTTGTCTAACTTATTTTTTCTCTTATCATATTCGTGCTTAAATTCTCGGTCTTGATCTATTTATATACACATTATATCGTTCAATCGATTTGTCTAACCGAACAAAAATAGGTAACTCTCTTAATATTGTCTATCTTTCCTTCGCGTTTTGACCGTCAACGCTTCTTCCAGTATAACACATCACTCAATAAGTTCGTAGGATAACATATAAATGGCGCTACTATTGACAAATCCATATGATTTTTAGGAAGTACTAACCTTCAAATGATACGTGTCAAAATTTCATGACAATCGGACGTTTAGTTCACAAGTTACAATGGTTCGAAGTGGGTACCGCGTTTGCTCACAGTCAATCAAAAACAGCAACGCGTCGACGATTCAGCGGGATTTGGAGCTGTTTTAGCGCAATAAAAAGGATTTTTTGATGCGGTATGTGACAATGGATGAAACATGGATCCATCACTACACTCCAGAGTCAAATTGGCAGTCAGCTGAGTGGACAGCAACCGGCGAAATCCGCCCAAAGCCGAAACTGAAGCCTATTTTGAGGTCAAAGATAAATCGTTCTACAAAAAAGCCATCGAAATGTTAGAGAAGCGTTGGAATCAATGTATCACTCTTGAAAGAGACTATGTAGATGAATAAAGTCAAATTTTGCCTAAAAATTGTTGTTTTATTAGTCATCCTACGAACTTATTGAGTGATGTGTTACATATATTTCAGTAGTTTAGTCTTATCACTCATACATTTCTAATTTGACACACAGATATGTGTGCACATACATCGAAAATATGTCGCTCTTTTATATTATACATTTTATATATTTTTTTAATCTTTTTCTCTCTATCTAAATGTGTGTCATATATTATGTATGTATATATATATATATATATATATAATGTAGAGAGAATAAATGTAATACAGTATAGTTAAAAATAACAAATTTGTTATTATTCTATAACTTTTTGCATAATACATAAATTAAGACTATAAAAAAAAATTTGTATGTAAATTTTTCAATATAAACAATATAAAATTTTCCAAATTCATGATTATTTTACAGAAGTTTTGTTAATTGTTTGTATTACATTCATTTTTATTACATTGAATTGTACTTTTTACATTTTCTCCTCTCAATTGATGGTTTGTTCTTTTCAAAGAATTTGCAGGACTAGTACAAGTTAGCATATTATTTTATTCTAACTTATGCATCATAACATGCACTAATTCAGAAACTTTTTCGAAAAGGAACAGATTATGAATATCATTATAAGTTGGTTCATTTCTAAAAAAACTTTTGAACTAGTATAATAAATTAAAGTGAAACAAGTATATTTTCTTTTACTTTAACTTATTGCACTAATGTATATTAGTTAAAAAGTTCTTCAAAAACAAATAAATCTCTATTTACTTTCTTATTTACATTCATTTTAAATGCAAAATGTGTAAATGCAATTTAAAATAAAATTTTAGATTTATTTTTTATGCTTTCTGTATATTGTAAAATAAAAAAAATATATAAACTTTGGGTAAGAAAAAAAATCAGATATGTATAGTGTTATAAAAAAAAAAACATTAAACTTCTATTTACATATATCATTAGATGATTGTAAAAATATGGTATTTTCTCAAATTGCTCAGTGTTAAACTTTCAGAGATTTGCAAGAATCAATTAATGTTTTAAATTTGATATAATTTCTTATTCAATATATATCTTACTATAATTCTGCATATAAAAATTATACTCATAATATACACAAAATAACAATATAATAATATTAAGTTAATACAATTTCTCGATCAATTTGACATTTTTCCAACATATTACATATCAATCTAGTTCTACATATTATTGGTGGAAGAAAAATTATACATTTATATATACTTTTTTGCATAATAATTTTGTCATTAGCAAAGAAAAGTCGTTAAAGAAGTATTTAATTTTCTAGGAATTGGGTTAATGTTTAATAAATGCTAATGATACTTGTTGGTGCCTAGGAGGATTGCTCAAGTTTAGGATTGAAGGAATAACATACATCTTGAATCAGCTAAATACATATATATATACACATATATATGTGTATATATCACATACATCACACTCACACATGTATATATGTTTGTATATATCTATGCATTTGTATGTATACACAATATCTATATAACACAAATGTGTATATACATATACATACATGGTGTATGCATACACACATATACATATATATACAACACACATACATTTTTTTATTACCTGTGTAAGCAATGGTCACATCTTTCGTCACGTACTGCCAATTTTACAACATAGGCAAATGCATTTTCATATAAAATAGTGGTGCCTTTGTTAACAGGCATGCGCTTACAATATTGACTCTTGATTCTCATTTCTTTCAAACTTCGAATTCTAACTTCTTTCGCCAGATATTTTTTTTGTCACTTCCGTATAATAAATGAAGGGAAACGTTACACTTTACTGCTTCGTATGATTGCACCTCCTCTTTGTCTTTCTCTGTCGCGTTCTTTCCATTTTACTCTGCTGACATAGGAGACTCGAACGCGTGTTCTATTTTAAGATCGGTTTATTTTCAGATGACGTATAATTGGAACTAATAACAAAACTCTTAATTTAGTGATTTTTCACTAACGTCTTTCTCAGTTTTTTCATTTTCTAATTATATAATTAAGATAAATCTGGAACGTTTTTTGTAGACATTTAATTAAGTTAAATTATAATGGAATTGGTCGACGAATCTCTCTAATAAGAATTCGTAATCTTAGATCTTCAGATAATGCGGAAGCATAGTGTCGGTACTAAAACTCAAGTCCTAAAGCGATTGGTTCGGTACAATTAAAAATGGGCGAATTAAAAACACGTGGAAAAAAATATATTTTCTCCATTGACCGCAGTGTTATATGTACAATGCCATCTTTCATAATATAAATTAATTTTACGTACGGTGTTTTCTTTTTTTCCACGTTAACATTATAGTCTTAAATAAGATGTTAGATAGTTTTATTGACTATCTTGAATTTTTTTTAATATCTGGTTGCAGTGTGTGTGCGTTAATATATATTTCAATTAACCATATGACGATCACTTTAGGTTGCTATTCTGTACATGCTTACCGACAACTGTCAGTATATGTATTGTTCAGTACATGTAGTTGCACGGGTATAGAATCATATAATCAGATATAAAATAGCTATGCATGATATTTACTAAACTGATAATTGTCAATAAGCTTGTACAGAATGCAGCTTCTGGGCTAATAATATATATCCTGACATGCTGAATTTCTTCTTTTGATGTTTGACACACAACAAATCGCTTAAGTGTTTTTGAGCATAAAAAGGGACAGGAATGGGAGACATATTTTCTTAACTTTTGTGATAACCCAATAATTGCATATTCTTCACACCTTTAGTAATGCCATTTTTACCATTCTTTCTTATGTTCATCCATCGATACCCCACCTGGACCTAGAGAAACTATCATCAAGAGGCCTCCAATAACTGATAATGTCTACAACAAAATATAAATGTATAAATTAATTTTTTTCTTTTTCTTTATCTTTCATTTAGTTTCTTCAGTCATAGGTAGCACATAGAAATAATTAAATTAACAAAATTAAATTTACCTGGAAGAAATCATATTTGAGGAAGTCCCTAAGTGGCTTATAGTCAGGAATACTCCACCATGCATTATGATAGAAATTGAGTCCAGTGAGCAGCAGCACAAGTAATAATGCACTTAGCTTTGTTTTATAACCAATGGTTACCAATACCATGAGAATACTGCCAAGAATATCTTGCAAGATTTGTAAGAAAGATATCTCAAAACGAATCAGAGTGATGAACATAAACGCCAGCAGGATTCGGCCAGCAAGTTGTAACAAATTTTTGGGCTTATTATCACCAAGACTGGGTACACCAGCAAATAGTGATCTGCCTTCTACTCTGGACTCAGCCAATACCAGCAGAAGTGCTCCTATTAGTGCTAGATTTCTGAACAAAAATTGCATGTCCCATAGGATGCTATATGCAATGGTCTGAAGGATTACTATGAAGAATAAAACACCACAGGCTATGCTGACTCGCCATCTGCCAATCACCATGACACATCCACCCAGCTGACCAACTAAATTTACTAGCACAAATATAGTTGCTAGAAATTTGCCACAGCCCCATGAAGCATTCATATATTCTCTTTGGTCGCTCCATTGGAACCACATTCGTAGGCCATCTTCCAGGAATGTGGCTATGAGACATACTCTTGCCAATGTTGGAAGCACATGTTTGCCATTACGAATTACCTAAAATATAACAATATATTATTAATAGTAATAAATTTTATAACATTAAATTCACTTGACTTAATTGTTTGTAATTGAGTAAAAAAAGTATATTATTAAATTAATAAAGTTTTTTTCATCAGGTAGCTTATCAGATTGTAAATACAAAATGATTGGAAAGTTGTTTTCTTATTAACCATAATTTCTAATGGTCTTGAAGTTTATTATTTTTTTAGTAAGAATTATACTTTTGTTATATTAGGCCTATTCTTTTTTAAAAAATTATGTTTTTGTTATATTGGATCTATTCTTTTTCAAAGTATTTTTGAAATAGTGCAATAAGTTTGAAAGAAAATATATCTGCTTCACTCTAACTTATTGCATTAGTTCAGAAATTCTTCAAAAAAGTATAGACCTTTTGTATTCTTTGTTAATTCAAGTTAATTAATAATATAAAATAAATATAGATTGACAAGCCTTTTAGCTTAACAATAAATAATATGTTACATTATCACATATAAAAGTAGGTCTGTGAAAGTGGGATAATCCACATGCTCGGTGAGATTTCATCATAAACATCAACCAAATTTTTCTATATTACAATGTCCTTAATGATAAATTGAGTGTTACATTATCGTTTAAATTCTAAATACACAACAAATAATGACAATAGTTATCATTATCGATATTAAGCGAAAATCGTAAGGATTCAGTATATGCATATACTGAGACATATGTGATTGTATATATAAAAATTTGTTAAGTATCTGCGTCAATCGTATCATATACTTATAGTGGCCAGTAAAAGACATAAAATATAATAACTTTTGTAATGATAGATCATAAAACTAGTTTCGTTTAGCTTCATTCGGCTTCGCCTAGAGTTTGTGATACACCTGTGGATTTCATAGTCTGCAATTTCTTGCAGATGAAATATAAAGATTCATATTATGGGCGCATAATTTACGATCAATTCATAAGACGAGGATACGCGTGAATATAGAAATAAGTAACCGTGGTGATGTTTACAATAGATACATATAACTATTTTTTTTACTTTTTAGAATCTCATTTGTTTGCTCCCACTTTTGCTCATTTCGAATTTTCTTTTAACAGAATTTGCGATTGAAGTTGCGTCTCGTGCAACAATGCAGAAAAACGTAGGATTGTGCTGAAAAATTCATCACCTGGTCAGCGATCTCCTCCGCTTTCGAAACCATTTCTTGTGAGATCACCATTGTGTTTTATTCTGAACTCGAAAAAGTGGCCATACACAGATATATACACGTGCGCATACGCAAGTGACACAACCGCGACGACGCGCGGAACAAAACCACTGGAGTGAATTGACGACAGTGGGAAAAGATAAAGCACGAAAGAAGAAAAGAGACAGAATGAAACAGTGAGCTCGCAATTAGTGCGAAGCGGCCGAAGGAATTCGAAAATATCCGAACTCAATCGAGTCGCTACGAATGATGTGGAGATGGGATGGCCGATGCTAAGCGTCATTTCCGGTATACGTGTACTTTGTAAAAGTTTTTACTATGCAGCGCTGATGATCGTTGCCGCTTCTTATGAAGAATTCACACTCAAGAATGAATAAATATAAAATCAGGGTACCTATTATGGAACTCGTCGGAATTGATTCCGATCGGGATAATTCCGTTTCCCCTAGAAAAGACAATAGAAATCTAGGAAATAACAATAAATTCGATCGGAATCGATTCCGACCAGTTCCATAATAGGTACCCTGGTCAGAATTGACCTGTATTCATAAAGCCTGTTCCGAAATTGGTTTCGGATATTGTGGTTTTAGTTATAAGGTTGGTAGGCTTTAAATTAACTTAAGCCAGCGGCACACGGTGCTTGTTTTCGTGCTGGATTGCTTGCTGGATGAAAATGCTGCGTTCTGATTGGTATATTTCCGAAGATGGATGGAAATGCACCAATCAGAACGCAGTATTTTCATCCAGCAAGCAATCCAACACGAAAACAAGCACCGTGTGCCGCTGGCTTTAGATACGTTTTGGGCATCAATCATGAGGTGCGTTCCGCTTCACCCATATGCGTGCATTTATCTATAGTTCATGTCACGTATACTATAAAAAATGCGCGCATATACGTGAAACGGAACGCATCCATGAATCTTTTCACCTGAGTTCGATTTTACTATCGATATATAACTTTTTTCCCTAGCATGAAATCGTGAAAAGTGAACAATTTCTCAATATTTGTAATAATTATAATAATAATTGTAATAATAATTATTATAAACTTGCTTTATTTAATGCACATCTGTATTTATGCTGCATAATACTGTTGTAATTTTTTCTTAGTATATTTAACGCAAAATTTTTAATCATATCAGAGAGAAGCCTGAGAGCGGGCATGGCTGCATTTACAGCGTTATGGAAAAGTTGGCTGATTCGCAGCGCCAACTGGGTCCATTTTTCATGGACATGAACTAAGCCATACTAAGACATACTAAGCCAATGTCCACGATTTGTCGGTACTATTCCGTGCTATGTCCATAATTATTTGGTTCTGTTCTGTGCTATGTTCACGAGCGAGCTAGATTACTTAGATAAAAACGAAGAATCGGTCTTCGTCTCACCACCAGCGAATAGACAATCGCGACGAAGCGAGCCAGCAGCGATGTTATCGTAAGGCAGACGTCGCCCCTTTCACCCCCTTGTTTTCCTTTCCACATTGTTTTATATTCATAATTCGGGAAGAAAATAATTTCGAGAGTTCGGACGATTTCTAGCAATGACGCGACAGAGATAACGCGCGGCCACATTAATTTGTCATGACTTTTATATTACTTACAATTACATAAACGCCCATGTGTGCAAATTATAGATAATTATTGCGCGTATGTTTTAATATTGTACAATATGGCATATAATAACAACTTCATTTCTTGCAGTATTTTTTTAAGATCTTCGTTGAGATCGTGAATTAATTATTTTCTTCATCAATCAGTTTTCTGCAAAAATTACGACTTTTTAAATAAAATATTGTTGTGCCCGCGCGTGAAAGAAATAACTCGGGATAAACTAAACGAGAAAAGCTTTATTTACAGCCAAGAAAAACGGATCTTAATCAATCTCAAAATAATCGCACGAATTCGCTTTACGTCCGTACGCTGTGACAGGACTAGAGCGACTCTCTACTCTAGTTGTTAGTAAACAAACTCCTTGACAACGATAACAGCTGTCAAACATTCTCTATATGCCTTCTTCACAGTCTTCTCCCAAGAGCGTGGGAACAATACGTTCCCCAAAGTTGTGGGCACAACAATATAAAACGTTTCTCTTCTCTTCTCTCCGAAGAGTTAATTAAAACATATGTACTCCACAGAGTCAACTAACAAATGTGTAGTCAGAAGAGTCAATTTAAAAGTGTACTCCGAAAAGTCAATTTAATAGCGTATTCCGAAGAGTCAATTTTAAAGCGTACTCTGAAAAATCTAATTAATATTATAATCCGAAAAGTCAATTTATAATAGAATATTTACTTCGATGATTCAGCTAAAGAAAAAAACATTTACTTATTATTATATTCAGAGAATAACATTTAATTTATTATTTATACTTATCTTACTTATGCTTACCCTACATATGCTTCTTTGAATGAAAAATTTAATTTGTTGACTGATTCAGATTCAGATTTGTTAAAATATCTCTTATGCGCAACTCTTGAACAGGTAGGTAGTAAAATAACTTTTTTTCTTTACGAATTTTATAAACTTTTCACGAACATAAAAATTGAAAGATTCTCAGAGAACAAATAACTTTTCTTGAACATTTAAATCAAAGGAAAATCTTTTCCCATTAATAAAGAATGAATAATTAATATCTCACACGAGAGGAATCTTCATCCTTGAAATAACCGCGTGATTTTGCTTTTAGAAAAGTATAATATTGATGTAATAGTAACAAATGCTACCCAATAATGGTGCAAATCTTAAACGTTTTTGAGAAATGCAGTTTGAAGTTTAGTCTCTTCTGTTAATGTTGTTATAGCAGAAGAATTACCAATTTGCTTCAGTAGCGCAGATCAGACTTTGTGATATGAGCGTAGAGGTTGTTCAAGTGTGTTATTTTTACTATCACAGGGAGAACTATGTAGAATGTATAATAATACGCAGACAAATTCTTTACATAATCATACTTATTTCTTTTAGCATGAATAAAAATGATCAATGCTAACGTGATAAGTGTATATCGCAATTGTACGTGTACGCAATTGTACACATACACACACACACGTTCACACGTATACCAATGACGTCAAAACCGAACAATTCGTGAAAATCTTTTATTGATCGCAATTGTATGCAAAGACGAAAGAGAAGTACACGGGTCTCCGTGGATATCTCGTCATATTGATTGTCTATGAGCTGATAAACAATTGATCTCCGATATTTACAAGTTACGCTTGTCCGCAGCTTGTTCGGTTTTGATATCATTGGTATCAGTGATGCGAATTTGGTGACGGGCTTGCACGAGGATTCTCCTCCCCCTCCCTTATACGCACACAGCCAGCTCGGTCAATCCGCGTGAGCCACGCGATCGGCAATTGTCGACGCGCCGAGCGAGCGAGAGAGAGAGAGAGAGAATATCATTCCCTCCTTGTCGCTCTCGTTCTCGCTCAGCGAGCGAGCCTAATTCTTTCTTACCCATAATCTGAATCGCGGGCGCGACTGTCTCTCTCTCCTTTCCTCTCTATGACAATACTGAAAAGTTTTGTCTACTCGGCGCACCGAAATTATTACAAATAATATTTTATTATTAATAATATTATTATTTGTAATATATATTATTTGTAATATTATTATTTGTAATTTTATTTGTAATTGTATAATAATGTTACAAATAATACAAATTTTTACAAATTTTATTTGTAAAAGTTTATATCATTCGTAATATTACTTGTAATAGTATTAATAATATTCGGCGCCAAGAAAATGAAATATATTTTATTAATTATTTTGCGGAGTTGGGCAGGTTCACAGGTTTGATTATTGAATTGTTTAATAATATTTTAAGAATAATTTTAAGTTATACAAGGATGTAGTATGAAATATAAAAGAATATTGTAACAGAATCAAGAAGTACGAAATGAAACCTCTTTGCTTTTATTACAATACCCTGTAAGTTAATAAATATTTTTCATACAGTATTAAATAATCTCCAAAAACAATTACATCCGTGAAATTTTCTATCTGCGCAAAAAAAATTCATAAAATATATTTGTTTCGTCGCTCTAAATGAGAAAACTCTCAGAACAATGTTATAGTTGTTCAATGCACTACTCAATAAAAATATAATAATACCATGTTTGTATGTGTGAAGAATATTCGCTAACTTACAGGATATTGTAATAAAAGCAAGGAGGTTTTATTTCGTACTTCTAAGGCCAAGACTTATTAACGGCTAAAGACATATTCGAATTGATCTTGCCTTAATTGGTCGGATCAGTGATCGGTCTTGCCTTAAGTTCCAAGCCTCATAACTCGGAAAGTACTCGATGAAATGTAACTTTGTTAGAGTGTTTTGGAATGCTCTCGAGATAAGCTACAAGAATATGTAATAAAAAATCGTAGTTTCTATTTAAAAAAACATTAATGACCTTGGCCTGATTTTGACAAGGTCACTTCACTCAAGGTTGACCTTGAGTGGAGGAGTCAAGGCGAGGTCAATGCCAACATGATTTTTTTTAATGGAATATCCTACTTTTTATCACACAGTGTTAAAGATGACAGCGAGACGTTTCCGAAATACTACTTGATGACCTATTTTTGTTGAGAATTGTCTGAGTTATGAGCTTTAGAATTTACGGTGCCGCCAGCATTAGTATTATTCAGGATGTACCACGTGGAGGTCGCATGATCGAACTTTACATCTCACCCCTGTGTATGTGTGTGTGTATGCGTGTGTATGTGTCAGCAAAAATAAGGTTCGTCCCTTCGCGGTTCGTCATTACCGCAGTATTTAATGACTCCAAAACCTCCCTGCTATGTGTATGTGTATGTGTGTGTATGCGCGCGCGCGTGTGTATGTAGACGGGTTTTTATTGAATGAAGTATTCAAATTGTCTTCCGTCTGCTGCTTGACAATAACCTTATCGTAGATGAAATTCATTTAAAACGTTTCGTCTCATTTCTGGTGAAATAAGATTTACTTGGTGCAGTATGTGTTCCCTAAGGTCTGCCAAGTTAGCAGGTTTCATTCCGTACACATTGTTTTTAACATATCCCCATAAGAAGTAGTCTAATGGAGAAAGATCTGGTGATCTAGAGGGCCACTCTATTTCTCCACATCTTGTTATCCATCGGTTTGGGAAAGTATCAGTTAAAAATTGACGCACAACTACTGCATAGTCCTTATCTCTGCTGACACATACACACGCATACACACACACATACACAGGGGGGAGATGTAAAGTTCGATCATGCGACCTCCACGTGGTACATCCTGAATAATACTAATGCTGGCGGCACCGTAAATTCTAAAGCTCATAACTCAGACAATTCTCAACAAAAATAGATCATCAAGTAGTATTTCGGAAACGTCTCGCTGTCATCTTTAACACTGTGTGATAAAAAGTAGGATATTCCATTAAAAAAAATCATGTTGGCATTGACCTCGCCTTGACTCCTCCACTCAAGGTCAACCTT